TTGTTTTTGTTTTCTGTAATATTCTCTTAAGAGATTATTACAGAGTGTAGCCATCACGTGATGTGATGGCAAGCACAAATTCTTGATTAATTGCATTAACCACTGTTTTTGGTGGTACAATGGAATTTATTATATTTCGATGAGCTGCTTATAATGCATTTATAGTAAAATATGGCTAAATTGCGAACAGTTGTTATCCCCTTATTCGCTAGTCCAAATTACAATGTGTTCCATGGCACATTGTAATATGATAAAATCATACTGGACTATGAGCATATTTATTAATCTTTTTAATTTTTGAAAAAAAAAATGTCAAACGTCCGCGTCCGGCTTCTCTTTTATAGGAAAAGTATGACTGACTGCCGCGTACGCTTCCTCGGCTAGTAGTTGTCTTGCCGGTAGATGTCGCTGATGTACAGGAAGATGAAGATTCTGGTATGTTGCAGTGTAATCAACGCTGAAGTGAGGCTTCACTGCCTCCAAGGTGGTACCATAGAATATCCGCTGAATTCTGGAAATAAAATAAGAACAATAGCTAAGTGAGACTTCACTGCCTCCAAGGTGATACCATAAAATGTCCACTGAATTCTGGATATAAAACATAAGCAATAACTATTTATATAAATGTCGAGGACAATATGAAGAAAAGAAAACTTTTGGAGCTTTATAATTAAAGTATTAAATTATCAGTAACTGTGAGAAAACAGCTATACACACCCAGTCATAGCAATCAAGGCAGCACACATGGCGCACGGCTCACAGCTGGTATAGATGTCACATCCGGTCAGGTCACGTGTCTTCAACTTCCTGCACGTGTTTCTGATGGCCACTACCTCGCCGTGAGCGGAGGGGTCATGGTCCACTATGATGTGGTTCCAACCTTCTCCTGCAGAAAATATAAAGGTTATTTTGTTTTAACCCAGTCAGGGTTATCTCCTTTCTAATATAAAAAGACACTCATATTCATGTATGATCTCCCGTCTTATATATAGGTCTACACTTATATAAGATCTCCTGCTTTATATATATACCCAGAAGACACTCACCTATGATCTCGCCGTCCTTCACAATCACTGCAGCAAAAGGCTCTCCGTCCCCCAACGTGGCGCCACGTGCGCTCAGCTCTATTGCACGTCGCATAAACTGTTCATTAGCACTGTCTTCCATGTTAACGTTGTCTCTCAGGTCATAAAGAATCCATTTATGGCACTAGTGTAATATACCAGTATAGGGGTATGAGCCTGTTAAGATTTTGACCTGCAAACATCAAAAGGTCAAAGCTTTAAGTAAGCTTATCTTCGTTCCGTTTATGTCGCATCTAGATTCACATGTCGTAGTAGATGGGTTGGTCCAACTCTGAGGGAGGTTCTCATTTAAGTGCAATCAGTGGAATCAGGTTAATCAGCACACAATGATTAATTACCCTCTAGCTGCTCGAGGAGGTGTGTCAGACAATTAAGCTGATTCCACTGATTGCACTTTAGCGTGAATTCCCCGCAGAGTTTCACCTACCCAGTTAGAGTGATGAGTGAATCTGAATACGGTCTCACTGACATTATGTAATTTGGCCTGCGTTCATCACCATAATCCATCTTCCTTAAAGTGATAATAACTCTTCATTTCGGCCAAAAAATGAATTTTCCTGGAGTAAACAACAATTTTCCCATACTAACCAATGGTTGTTGAATCCATTTTTACATCTTAAGTTAGTCCCTGGTTTTTTTCTAAAAAGTTTGTTTTTTGGTTAAAATCTCTTAAGAGATTTTAACAGAGTATAGCCATCAATGGAGGTCATGTGATCTGAAGACAAGCTCAATATCAGAAAAAATAGCTATATATGGTAAAACAGAATATATTATATTTCTAGTAGTTATTCACAATGTTTTTATTGTGAAATATAGATCTCATACGAAGAGTTATTATCCCTTTAAGCTGTGCATCCAGACGTGTCAGGTGAGTGTAGTCTCGGGTAATACACATTTAACTAAAGGTAAAAAGCTTTTACTGTCATTCTTTGCTAGTGGTGCACTGCGGGGGAGGGGGGGGGGAGGCATACCAAGAATGTGATTTAAATTAAGATAGCCGACCAAATTCTCATAACATCGTTGTTTATGTCTCAATAACAAATCAAAGAAGCTGCATGAGCAAGGGCAATGCTGTTATAAAAGCAAAATAAGAGAAAAGGCAGAAAATATATCGAAATTATCGTCAAAATGGCGTCCATTTTTGTGGAATTCCGACCCTACCTCTTTTTAGGAACAGTTTGTTTAGGTTTTGAATGGATTATTGAAGCAGGAAATACACGTAGTGCAAGAAAATATAATAAACAGAATGTGCAAGTGGTTATTTAAATAATAATTTATTTGGAGTGACTGAAAAATGATCACAAAATTACCGTAACTAATGTTACATGCCGTGTACCAGCCCAATGAAAACTTCATCTAATCCTATCTTTCCATATTAAAACTCTTCAATGCGTGAGAAGTCTGTCGGTGAGTTTTTGTCACGAAGTTCATGCTAATATCACTTTTCTTAAGAATTACACATTTATTTGCTTAACAAAGTCGATTTTTCTCACCGTGTCCCATGTAACGTTCGTTACGGCGAAACTTCAGAGATCGATTTTTATCAGACGCCTTTAAAAAGGACGCTTGAAAATTATACATCGATTTCTATCTGCTTCCATACCCACTGATTGGCCACTAGACAGTTATTCAACAATCTGTTTACAATGACAAGACAATCTACGAAATAAAGTCCAATTGGCGTGTTGTGTTGAAAAAATGACTGTATTTATGGCAAAATGAACCCACAATTTCCGACTTCTGATTGAGCAATAAATAAAAGTTAAAATGCACTAGAATGCAGTATTATACATACAGTTTTTAAAGATGTTCCACACCGTGGGAGGGGGACACCCCCTACCACACACACCCCTCGGGGGCTTGGCCCTCTCGTGTCCGCTCACTGCCCCCCCCCCCCCCCCCCCCCCCCCCCCCCCCCCCCCCCCCCCCCCCCCCCCCCCCCCCCCCCCCCCCCCACCCCCCCCCCCCCCCTCCCC